TACAGTCTTTGTGAGTGTTATCCTTCTAACTCCATATTTCTCCATAAAATTTCTTCAATCAATTTGGATCGTATCGTTTCCATGTGGGTTTTGGTTCGGAATGGTTTGTATGCAAGTTACATTTACTAGCTTAAGTAATGACTTACAATAAGTTGTGATACCGTCCGTCTCCATCTTATGGATGATTTTACTCTCAGTCATGGCATATAATTGTTTTGATGCTTTTAAGTTCTCCAAGCTATTCTTTCAATCTTAACATTGCAGACAAGAAACAATATTGGTTGAAGGTGGTTCTCAAGCTTGAATGGAATGCCAGAGAAGCTTGGTTATCTTGCCTGTGGCATTGTTATTACAGGATGACTATTTGTTGACTGTTGTTCTAGTGTTTGCACGTCCATCTGCTGAGTGAGGAGTCGGTAGTAAACTCGATTATATGAGCGACCTATAACTCTCCTACAAGTTTGGTCACTTAAATGTAACTTAAAGCTACTTTAGATTTGAAATCTGATGAATGTTAGAACTGCATTGCATATATGATGTAGATGGATGCTTTTTTAGCTACTGATATTCAGTTATTTATGAACATGATGAGTGTTGGACAGTTCAACAAAGAATAGCAAGCATAACCATTTATGCTATCGTTGTTGTGCTCTGCTCTCAATGCATTGTTTCTTGATGTTTTGTGATTCTAATTATATGCTTTATTCTAGATTTTAGTCCTCCTGCTGCTTACCTCTGGAAGAGATCCCGGAATAATTCCACGGAATGCACACCCGCCCGAACCTGAACCCTATGAGGGTAGTGTTGATACGGGATCAGGACAAACTCCCCCATTACGATTGCCTCGTATCAAGGAAGTAGAAGTCAATGGAATCACTGTTAAGATCAAGTATTGTGACACTTGCATGCTTTATCGACCTCCTCGCTGCTCGCACTGTTCAATTTGCAATAACTGTGTGGAAAGATTTGATCATCATTGTCCTTGGGTCGGGCAGTGTATTGGTCTGGTAAGAGTTCTTTTCATTAAAACCTTGGATTCCCGTTCATCTTGTCAGTTTCTTGTTAAGCTCTCTATTTTAAAGCTTTTTATAGTCTTCTTCTCTAACATGGAGTTTTGTGGGTCTTCTATTTTTTTTCTCTTTGAACTCTTTCTGCTTGTCGATGTGATTGCAGAGAAACTATCGATTCTTCTTCATGTTTGTTTTCTCAACAACTCTTCTTTGCATATACGTGTTTTCGTTCTGCTGGGTATACATCCGACGGATTATGTCGGCAGAGGAAACATCCATCTGGAAAGCGATGATCAAGACTCCTGCTTCCATTGTGCTGATTGTTTATACTTTCATCTCAATGTGGTTCGTTGGTGGCCTTTCTGCTTTCCATTTATATCTCATCAGTACAAATCAGGTAAGCATCCTCTGCAACCTCTAAACGAAACATCAAATGATAACGAACGAGAATTCTTGGTTCAGTTCTCCACCTTAACGATAGAAAAAAGGATCGATCAAATTCTTCCTATGTTTGACCCATTTGAGCTGGCTTAATTTGCAGACTACCTATGAGAATTTTAGATATCGTTATGATAGAAGAGCCAACCCATACAACAAAGGAGTGTTGGACAACTTCAAGGAAATCTTTTGCTCCAGCATTCCTGCCTCCAAGAACAACTTCAGAGCAACTGTGCCTAAAGAGCCTGTTTTACCTCCAACCCGACTCGGGACCAGTGGTTTTATGAGTCCAAATGTAGGCAAAGGGGTAGAGGACATTGAAATGGGCAGGAAAACAGTATGGGGAGACATGAATTCTGGTGCCGATCCATTTGATGGGCAACCTCAGATCAGTGAGCGGTCGAGCGTAAAAGAAGGCAAATTTGGCGAAGTATCTCCAGATATTAGAACTGCAGTTGAAGAAGCTATTGAACGTGGTGGATTACATCCGAGACGATCGAGTTGGGGAAGGAAAAGCGGAAGCTGGGACATGTCGCCTGAAGTTGTTGCCTTGGCAGCAAGAGGTAGTGAAAATCATGTTGCAGGGAGCAGCAGCAGTGGCAACTTGATGGTTGACAATCGAGAAACACACGATCATTGATAAACTTGTAAACAGATTTAGAGGTTATATGAAACAAAAAAAGGATTGGAGAGAAACCAACTTTTGGAGTCCAATTTTATGGGTTTGAAATGGGATTTGTTGAGGTTTTTCAGGGTTTGTGATTCAGCTTCCACATTAAAGTTTATGTGCAAATGCAATATGCGCAAGGAAGGTGAGAAAGGGGGACTTGATTTGGCAGATGTAAATGTTGATTTGGGTGTGTTCTAATTCTATGAGTGAGTTTTTTCTCCAATTCTGATTTTTCTACCTCATTTGTGGAATCAATTAGCCCATTGTGTAATGCATTTGTGAAATTAGTGTGTGCTAAATTAGCAGCTTCATCTCTTATTCATTTGTGTTTTTGAGTTCACGATTGCAGGTGGATAGCAAAGCCTCGAGTTCTCCAATAAACATTGGTGAGCTATGCTTAAATTGACAAGCCAACAACTATGGTTAGTTCTACTTAGCTGCCTTTCATTCTCGCTCTATATAGGAAACTTCAACTTTAGGGGGAATATGTGAGACTGGAAAAGAAAGGGAATCCGACCCCGACTTTGCCTGAAGCATGCGAAGGAATGAGATTTGTCTTTGAAGCAAGTTCATTCAGTGCATAAACTTTTCACGAGTGTGGTTGACTAGTAGTATCATTAGACTAAATGCTCCGTATCCTTTGTGGTAGTCATGCTAATTCCTTTGCTATTGGAACTATGACTCCCCCTCTGTAAACTATGCTTCCAGTCTATCGGGTCTCATCTCAAGCTGTGGTATAGACGGAGTTTCCTTCCTCCGTCACAAATCCCAACAAAAAAAAAAAGATAACTAGTGCCCTTAATCGAATGACTTGAAACACTTCTCTGTAAGAATTACTATTTGATTGGTTGTAACCACACCTACTCTTAGTACCTAGGCTTTTTAGAGATTCCCTAAAACATGAGCATCTTGTATTTTGTACTTGAACCTTAGTTATTAATTGATGTTTTAAATAGGTGAGCTGGTACAAGGCAATCAAAGCCAATCCGGTGGACCTTACAATATTACAATGCAGAATGACCCTATCAGATATGTCAGCCTCATGCATCTAAGAACGTATACATGTTTATTATAATACATGTTTATTATTTTAAAAGTCGATGACATAAAAACATGCTTTTTAAAAAATAGAGATAAATTAATTACTTACTAAATAAGTAAAGAATTAGTCAAATTTCTCCTCTAAAATCACTTTTAATTTTTTTTTAATAGAATATCTCAATTTAAAAAGCACTTTTCATTTGACACAAAAAATGGAAAGTTTAGGTTCGGTCTTATTTTTTTTAATTTTAAAATATTCTTAACCAAATTAAAATAAATAAATAAATACTTTTGTAAACCTTACTTTCTATTTGTGAACTTTTATTTATATATATATAAATCTCTAGACCCTATGACCTAAGTGAGCTACCATGTGGTCACATACGTGTGTCATAGTGTGGGTGAGCGTGCCGAAACAAGTGTCTCGGGTGACTTCCTTTGAAATGAGTTTTTTAGTGACAGTACTGGGTGGCACGAGTGTGCCGGTATTACGCCCCAGCTTGCGTGTTGGAGTTTTCTACATACACCCACTATCCGGCACGGTATCCGTAAATGACACGACATGGAAATGGGAGGGCCAATGCCTCGATAGAACCCAGATGGATGGATGTTCGGGAAGTCCCGATGATATAAGCGACAAGCAGGCCCGTTCTCGATGGCATGACCGAACGAGCTGTGATGGCCGACAATACCTCGGGATGACATTAAGACATATGGGTCATGTCGATGGAGATCGAGATGACAAGATGAGACACGATAATGCATTGAGAGACCTTAACCTCGAGCAGAGGCAACGTCGAGCCAAATAACTTGGCCTAGTGTAGAGGCAAGTCGATTGCGTCACAGACGATTGAACATGCACACATAGACAGTGTGTGTGGTCGAACAAACTTAGATTCCGTACAAGTGATATTCGATTGGCAAAGACAAACCTCGCCTAAGATTCGATGAAGCCACAAGCCTGGGACGAAAAACATATATGGGACTTAATTCCTCTTAAGATTGGTCGTGAGCGTGTCAAAATTACGACGCCGCACGATAAAAAATGTAGGACACGTAGACTTTTGTTAATATTGACGTGGCAAGATAATTTATAATTATCTTTCCATGTGGCAACACCTCACCCCTCATCTACCCGTACTACCTACTAAAATACGTCAATTACTGTTAAGTTATGTCTATTTTTTAAATGTTACTAATTTTTTTTACCAACATGAAGTATAGTTTTTGTTGACTTTTTTTAGTTATGGGAAATTTGTTCGATATTTGATTTTGGTTGACGTCGGTGAGTTAAGAAATACTTTTATTTTCTTAAAAATTAAATTAATAGGTAAATTCAGATGTGTTTTTTGAAAAAGTGAAAAATTCAAGTAGATTCACGAGTTGACATTTTTTAGATAGGTCAACTCGACCCAACTCGAAAATAGGGTTACAACCTACCTCAATTTTATTATATTTTGAAGATATTAAGAATATTGATATTTATAACTAATATTAATGATATTTTGTGACTATTTAAGTTCTACGAGTAGCTATTAATGTATCAGAATTGAGAAACTCTATGGCTCGAGTTGTGAATTTTTGGTTGCTCGGGACTCGAGTCTCCAATCCAACTAATTTTAAATTAGTTGGACGAGTTAAAAAGATTTAAAATAGAATTTAATTAGGAATTTAAAAGGATTAAAATATTTTAGGGAGAAGATTATCCAAAGAGAATATAATTAATAAATTTTAAAAAAGAAAAAAAGGAATATTCGCTAAGAAGATTCCCTTTTGTATGTTTGGTTTCTCCTTCCTTCTCTCATCTTTCTCCTTAAATACGTTATTTCGCCATAACCATCCGCCATAGCCAGAATCCGTTTAAGCTTTTTGCAAAGGCCTTGTGCCTCTAAACCCACCACTCATTTTCTCCTCCCGACGCGGCCGTCCTTTCTCTCTTTATATATCTATCTTGCATAAAATGGCTCTCAAGGCCGTCCATGTCTCTGACGTTCCTCACCTCGATCAGGTGCCGGACAATGCCTTACTGGAAATTTGCCCAAATCGAGTCTCCAAAGGTAGTTTCTTGTTTTTTTCTTGTTTCTATTGTGTTGGTGAATGTTGTTCTTGATCTAAATGGATTTTGATTCGGGGGGCTCTGTTTTGTAGGTGTGGAATTGGGAGGGAATGCGTTTAGAGCCTCGAAGTTCTTGGTTATAGGGCATAGAGGGAACGGTATGAATATGTTGCAATCTTCAGATAGGAGAATGAGAGCCATTAAAGAGAATTCGATCCTATCGTTTAATGCCGCCTCTAAATTCCCCATCGATTTTGTTGAATTTGACGTTCAGGTTCGGTTCCGATCTTTATTTGAATCTTTTCTTTTCATCTATTCTCTCTGTTATATGTTTCTCAGAATTTCTTTATAATTCCTTTTTGGGAACTTGTCGTGACATAAACCGATTTTAAAATTTTACTTTACGGACAAAGAACAATTTAATTTAACTTAATTCCTCTTCTCTGTCTCCATTCCCTTGATTTTTCTCATCCTTGTTCTTCCATCGATGGATTCGATTCGTGTTCATCCTTCCGTATGCAAATTACGAAGGGATACTGATTATCTGCCTGCTTTTTATTTCTCGTTTTCACCTTTTCATTCTCTTAATTTCAATGGACATAGAAGTAAGGAGAGGTTGATTTAGCTTAAGGAATCAGGGAAGTGAAAACAAATTGTGATGATTTTTGTAGGTTACAAAGGACAACTTCCCGGTCATATTCCACGACGATTTTATTCTCTCTATAAATAACGTAAGCTCATCTTTATCCTTTTTCTACACAGATTTGTTCTTATGGTGTTCTTGTGTTCATTAGTTTTTTGTTTAGATTAGTATGTTTGATTCTGATCTGGGATTTCAGGGCACTGTTTTTGAGAAAAGAATCACAGAGTTATCCCTCCCGGAATTCCTGTATTACGGTCCCCAAAATGATTCCCAGGAGGGAAATTGCTTGCTTAGAAAAACTCATGATGGGAAGATTGTCAATTGGAATGTTGAAACAGACGATAGGCTTTGCACTCTGGAAGAAGCTTTTCAGAAAGTGGAATCATCTTTAGGCTTTAATATCGAGTTGAAATTTGACGACCACATTGTTTATGATCATAGTTACCTTACTAGTGTTCTTCAGGCAATCTTACAGGTGAGAATGGGAATCTCTAGAAGATCTTGTCTCTCTGTTATTGCTTAAGCCATTGTTTTCATGGAAACTTAGCTCTGGTTTTGTTGTTGTTGTTCTATGACAGGTGGTCTTTGAGAATGCTAAAGAGAGGCCCATCATCTTCTCTACCTTCCTGCCAGATGCAGCATTGCTCGTCCGAAAGTTGCAGGCGACATATCCTGTGAGTGCTTTTAGGATGAGCTGATTTCTATGGTTTCATCCCAAATCTAGTAATTTCTTGCATTTTCTTCTTCAGATTAGGGATAAAATGGAATCCAAAATAAATTATTCACGCACAATGTCCTTCTAACATATGTGGTTTGGTTTCAATTTGCTCCCAACATCTTGTAACAAATTAAGAAGATTGAAGTTGAACTGTAAAGAGAATTTTGAAACGTTCAAATCAAAACTGAAATCAACCACATATTTAGCTTGATAACACATTTGTTGCTATGTGATGAAGGTTTTCTTCTTGACAAATGGGGGAACCGAGCTGTATCATGATGTGAGGAGAAATTCTTTGGAGGAAGCTTTGAAACTTTGCTTGGAAGGTGGATTGCAGGGGATAGTATCAGAAGTCAGGGGAATTTTTAGAAATCCAGGGACTGTTAAGAAGATCAGAGAGTCAGAACTCTCCCTCTTAACCTACGGAAAACTGAAGTAAGCTTCTGCCATTAATGCTCATGAATTGGTTGAAAGTTTCTGAAATGTTTTGAGTTAATGTGCCATTGGTGTTCTTGAATACGGTAGTTTCTAATATGGTTTATGCTTTGAACAACCCTTTTGGATGATCAATGTGCCATTAGTGTTCATGAATTGGTTGAAGTTTCTGAAATGTTTGGATAGTTCGAACAACCCTTTTTGATGATCAACGTGCCATCAGAACTCATTAATTGGTTGAAATTTCTGAAATGTTTTGTTGGTTTTGATCAACCCTTTTGGATGATCACTGTGCCATTAGACCTCATGAATGGGTTCAAATTTCTGAAATGTTTGTATAGATTGAACAACAACCCTTTTGGATGATGATCAATGTGCCATTAGAGCTCATTAATTGGTTTGAACAAGCCTTTTGGGTTAATGTGCTCATATCATGAATTGATTGTTGAAAATGCAGCAATGTGGCAGAAGCAGTTTACATGCAGCATTTGATGGGAATAGAGGGGGTGATAGTTGATCTTGTGCAAGAAATGACAGAGGCGTTGGCGGATCTTATAACGTCGACGAAGGTGATCGGGACGGGAGAAGAAGGGAAGGAGGAAGGAAGTGAGGGAAATGAAGGAAAGGTCAAAGCTGAAGGGGACATAAAGCCTCAGTTCTCGGAGAGGGAGCTTTCATTTCTTTTGAAGCTCATCCCAGAACTGATAGAGCTCTAACATTACTTTACATATTACATTACACAACCAAGAAGAAGCAGCTTTTTTCTTACTGTTGTATATAATTTTTGAAGTCACTAAAATTTATCACAGGGACTGTTCATCACACACATTTATTTATTTTTAATGATTTTTTATTTAAAATTTGGTTAAATTAATTTATAATTTATTTAAAATACTAATTTTGTAAATTAACCTAAAAAAATAAAATTTTAAATAAAAACCCGAACAATCCCATTCAACCAAAAAAAATTGTAGTTGGGTTGTATTTGAGTTGAAAATTTTAATGTCTAAATAATTGTGTTAGTTTAAAAAAAATGTCACAAACTTTTGTTGAATTCTAAATCTCTTAAACTATTTGTAGTTACTTTATCGTTATTATTCTTTCTCGAAACGTTTGCCAAGACGGATAACATCATTTGAAATATTTATTTTAACATGTTGATATAAATATATACTAGAAGCACATGACTCGGCTAAGGCTCGGGATTTTAGATGATAAGACTCGAGATTTTTTTAATTCAAGAATAAAATAAACATTTTGAAAATTTGTGGATTAAAATAACATTTAAAAGTTTTTAAATGCTCGAAATATTTATTTTTTTTAAAGTATAAGGACAAAACTAGTAATTTGCAACCTATAAAATATAAAACTAGACCAAATCTTATACGTACCGATGTTCAAAAAACTCGATGACTCGAAAAACTCGATCAACTCAAACTAATCTATATGGTTTTAGTTAAGCTCAAATAAATAAAGAGTTTATCCATTTGTTAGTTCTTGGCTTCCTTAAAACTAAGTTGGTTGAATCAAACTAATTTTAATTTATTATTAATTTTAAAATATATATTTGGATTATGTATACATATAGTTATTTTATATTATTTATTCTCTGACCCTCTTATAATTTTTTTTAATTATTTAGAAAATAATTTTTTCAAATAGATGTTAAAATTAATTACATTTGTAAATAAATAATTTTTTTTAATTATTTAGAACATAATTTTTTTAAATATATGTTAAAATTAATTACACATTTGTAAATAAATAAATAGATATTTTATTAATTAACATTTTAGACTCAGAATTATTTAAATTTAAAAAATGTCTCAACCCAATTCACGTCACATCCATACGTACATGCGTACGTACGTACTACACATACACATACACATACACACACATATACACATACATACATACGTACGTGCCACACATACATACATGCATACGTGCGTACATACATATGTATGTACCACACGTGGATACACACACATACATGCATACATACATATGTACGAATGTATGTACCACATATAAATACACACACACATACATACATGCATATGTACATACGTACCTACGTATGTACTACACATACACACACATGCATACATGCATATGTATGTACCACACATACATACACACATACATACACACATACATACATACGTACGTACCACACATACATACACACACATGGATACACACACATACATACACATATATGCATATGTACGTACGTACTACATATACATACATACATACACGCATACGTACACACATATATACAAATAGAACTAAAAAAGTATGAGTGTTAAATTAATAGAATATTTTTGTAATTAATAAATAATTTCTATAAATGTTGATGAATTCAAATAATAAATAATTAACTATTTATTTAAAAGAGAAAAAACTTTGAGATTAAGAAATGTGTTTTAACATAGTAATCTAAAAAGGGTTTGTGAATGATATGAACAAATCAATATTTGAGTGTTCATTAAGTAACTTATAATCCTAAACCATTTATGATTATTATTACTAATACCATTTACTTATAATTTCTTTCCTTTTGGACGCTTGCCAAATATTTAGGTTCACATTCCTTTTCCACGAATCCCGAGAAGAAATGTTGTTGTCGGGATCAGTTTAATATTTAATTTCTAAGTAGGTAATGACGTAAATGGAGAAAAAAATATTAATATGGTTTATTAGACAATATTAAGCAATCTAAAAAGACGCATTCGTTAACTACATTAAGAAACATGCTATGTTGAGCTAATAAAACTAGGGGTGTCTGTAGGTTGGGTTAGGTCTGGTTGAGAAGTTTTTTAAACTCAACCGAATTGTTCTAGCTGAAAATATTTAGGGTCTAAACATGATTACATATTATTTTCTTTTTTCTTCTTAATTCAACTATTGTAGGGTCAAGAACGAACCATCGATCTTTGAGACAGTAATTCGTACCTCACCTAATGAACTGAGTACGATAGTCAACATCTAATATATGATAATCAAATCTCGATAGCCAAGGGTCGAGATCAAACCATTGAACTTTGAGACGATAATTCATATCTTACCTAATAAGCTAAGTATGATCGTCAACATTTAATATACGATAATCAAATCTCGATAGCCAACATCCAATGAACCGTAAAGAAACCTATAACTTTGGAGTCTTGACATCTTGTATATACGTCGTTCATGGTAAAAATAAAATTAGCAAAAAAATGTAGGACGGGAATCGATAAATAGCGAATTTGGTTCGATTTTGAAGGTTATTTTTTCATATGGTAGACACCTTTGCTTAATATGAGTAGGTTAAGAAACAAATATATTCTATGTTAAAAACAATGGATGAGACTAAATGTTCTCATATTTTGTTCAATTTTAGATTCTTAATTTTTTATTTTTTTTAATTAAAAAAACATGAAAAAAAAGGAAAATTATTCTCATTCTCCATTTTCATTAAATAAATTACACTTAAATAAAATAAAATTATTATTTTTATTTTTTTTTTTAACACAAAAGATATTATTATTTTTCTATATAAACTTAAATATTTGAATTCACATTAAACATTTTTAAACCGACTTAACTTTATTTAGTTGATTGGCTTCAAAGTTAAATTGTTACTTTATTAAAAGAAAAAGGTAAAATCTCACTTGAGTTATTTATTTATTTATTTATTTATTAATTTTTGTTAAGAATTATATTTTCGGCTTAAAATTTTTAAAATAATTATTCTTTTGACTTTCAATCTTTTTTATGTTTTATTTTTTATTTTTTATTGTTTAATAATAAAGATCAACCCTTAAAGATTTAAGGAGGAGTAGACGAACAGTGCAACGATCAGTTCGAGCATAGTTAGATGGATAAGACACAAATTATTAACCTTTAAAGTATAGTTCAAATATGAGCAAAGTAAGAATGCTTAAGAAACAAAAAGAGTATATTTGTAGTTTAAATTATAATTATGGATCCAAAAATACATCATGAAATTTCAATTGCTTACCGAGATATATATATATATATATATATTGTTATGGAATAAAATGAACGATAAGATCGAGAACGAAAATGAAAAAAACTAAGGGCAAAATAAGGCTAAAAAGTCGACAACCAAGCATGAGATAATAGGCTATCCCAAGTTTCGTAAGCGGCCTTGGAGCTAGCCTCATTTGGGCATGGAGCAAATGTGCCATCAGCCCGACTAATCCTAATTCTATTCAATACAGTTCTTTATTGTCATAACCAATCAGCGAAACCCTAATTGAATGATAATAAACACTATTCTTCTATTGCCTCCTCCCGCAATTTTTTTTTTCCCTATGGTTGTCACGTTAATGTCAAATGCATTACTCTATTTGAAGTTTAGTAACATGCTTTAGTTTTTGGTGATTTTAGTTCAGTCCAATTTGATCCTCTTACGTTATCAACATTCTTCTTCCATTGGAGACAGGAAGTACAACAAATTTCAACTAAAATCAAAACTCTTCTTAATTAATCGTTATCACGTGTTCAGTGTATGAGTCGGTCGAAATTTTAGCAACAATAGTTGAAATCGTCTATGGAGAAGAAAAAACTTCCTTACAAGATATGCATATAACATTTGAAGGATGAGCTCATAGAGAAGAAAAATCGAAACCAAGATAGAGACGGTTCATATAAGAGTCATCACTCATGATGAATGCGGGAAGCTATACCTCCTCAACTTCATACTCAACAAGGTCGAGTAGGGGAAGAAGATGCAAAACTTAAAAGAAGAATGAGTTGAAAAGTCCAATACTTAGGGTCGGATTCTAAAGAGGCTGAATAATTAAGCCCCTCCATTGAAGACCCGGATCGAGGAGCAACTTGTCAAGAATTGTTGGGGGTCCCACATTGGCTAATTAAAGAGAAGAACATTGGTATATAAGTAAAGAATATTATCGTCATTAGTCAAATTGTGAATCTCGATAATGAAGTACTATTACCGTAAACTTTATACAATTCTTATCCATTTTTTCTGTTTTCACTTGTTAACCTGCCAATTTTGAAAAATAAATAGTTTAAACCTTCCAAAATTTAAAGATAAAAATGGAGAATTCTTAAATATTTTTCATTATATGGGTAAGAAATAAAAATAAAAATAAAAAATAAATAAATAAAAGTAAAACGTAGCTTAGGGTAGCGTGTTGGTAACAATTTAGAAAGAGGCCTTTTTGCCTTTTAGGGGTCACGCGGTTGTGAAAGCAACAACGCCGTCATAAACAACAAAGGAATTCCGTTTCGAAAAAAAGTCAAAAAAAAAGAAAAAAAAAAAAAAAGAAAAAAAAAAA